TGTAGCTCGGTGCCTAAATTGCCAACAGGTGAAGTATGAGCATCAATGACCGGGTGGATTGCTTCAGAAGTTAGAGATTCCAAAATAGAAATGGGAGCGGATCACTATGGATTTCGTTGTTGGGCTCCCACGGACTCAGAGGAAGTTCAATGCAGTTTGGGTGATTGTGGATAGGTTGACCAAGTCAGCCTATTTCATTCCTGTAGTTACTACTTACTCTTCGGAGCAACTGGCTCAGGTTTATATTCGCGAGATTGTTAGGCTTCATGGTGTACCGATATCTATCATATCTGACCGGGGTACACAATTTACATCACGGTTCTGGAGAGCCGTACAGCAAGAGTTGGGTACTCGAGTAGAGTCGAGTACAATATTTCACCCTCAGACGGATGAACAGTCCGAGCGCACTATTCAGATACTGGAGGATATGCTTCGTGCGCGTGTGCTGGATTTTAGGGGTGCCTGGGATCAGTTCTTGCCACTTGCGGAGTGTGCCTACAACAACAGCTACCAGTCGAGCATTCAGATGGCTCCATATGAGGCCTAGTATGGTAGGCGGTGCCGGTCTCCAGTGGGTTGGTTCGAACCGGGCGAGGCTAGGCTAGGCTAGGGTACAGACTTGGTTCAGGATGCCTTAAAAAAAGTTAAATTGATTCAGGGTCGACTTTGTACAGCCCAATCTAGACAGAAGAGTTATGAGGATCGGAAGGTTCGTGATGTTGCATTCATGGTTGGTGAGCGGGTCTTGCTCCGGGTTTCGCCTATAAAGGATGTTATGAGGTTCAGGAAGAAGGGCAAGTTGAGCCCTAGGTATATTGGGCCTTTTGAGATTCTTGAAAGAGTTGGAGAGGTGGCTTATAGACTTCCACTACCACCTAGTCGCTCTGCAGTTCATCTGGCATTCCATGTTTCTATGCTCCGGAAGCATCACGGCGATCCGTCTCATATGTTAGACTTCAGTTCAGTTCAGTTGGACAAGGATCTATCTTTTGTTGAGGAACCAGTGGCTGTTTTGGACAGGCAGGTTCGAAAGCTGAGGTCAAAGAACATTGCTTCCTTGAAGGTGCAGTGGAGAGGCCAGCCAGAAGGAGAAGCTACTTGGGAGACAGAGCGGGAGATGCAGAACAAATATCCACACCTATTTGAGACTCCAGGTGTAATTCTAAATCCGTTCGAGAACGAACGTTTGTTTAAGAGGGGGAGGATGTAACGACCCGGCCAGTCGTTTTAAAAGTTGTAGCCATTCCCTATTTACTGCTCATTTTGTACTTTATAACTGTTATGTGACTTGCCGGGGTAGTCGGTTCAGGTCCGGTGAGGTTTTGGAATCAATTGGAACACTTAGTTCCAAGGTTTAAAGCTTAAGTTCAAATAGTGACCGGATGTCGACTTATGTGTAAACGACCCCAGAATAGAATTTTGATGATTCCAACAACTCCGTATGGTGATTTTGGACTTAGGAGCGTGTCCGAAATTTTATTTGGAAGTCCGTAGTTAAATTAGGCTTGAAATGGCAAAAAATAGGAATTTAAATTTGGAAGCTTGACCGGGGAGTTGACTTTTTGATATCGGGGTCAGAATGCAGTTCCGAAAATTTTTATAGCTCGGTTATGTCATTTATGACTTGTGTGCAAAATTTGAGGGCAATCGGATTTGATTTGATAGGTTTCGACATCGAATGTAGAAGTTAGAAATTCTTAAGTTTCATTAAGCTTGAATTGGGGTGTGAATTGTGATTTTAGCGTTATTTGATGTGATTTGAGGTTTCAAATAAGTTCGTATAATATTTTAGGACTTGTTGTTGTATTTGGTTGAGGTCCCGAGGGCCTCAGGTGAGTTTCGGATGGTTAACGGATTAAAGGTTGGACTTAAACAGCTCCTGCAAAAGCTGCTGCAATTTCCTTCTGCTAGGAATGCAGAAAATCGAGCCCAGGGTCGAAGGCCATAATCGAGGCTCAGGGTCGAGGGCCAGGATCGAAGCCAGGTTCGAAGGCCAGGATCGAGGCTCAGGGTCGAGGGCCAGGATCGAAGCCAGGGTCGAGGCTCAGGATCGAGGAACATGATCGAAAGCCAGAATCGAAGGCCATGATCGATGCCCAGGATCGAAGGTTAGGATCGAGGCCCAGGATCGAGGGCCATGATCGAGGGTTAGGATCGAGGCAGGACCGATGGCTGCCTGGACAGAATTATAAAACGGGGGACTTTGTCCCATTTTTCACTTTTGACAAATTGGAGCTTGGGGATAGGCGATTTTTGGGAGATTTTCAGAGAAAACATCGGGGTAAGTGTTCTTAACTCAATTTTGGTTAGATTACCCGAATCCATCATTGTTTTCACCATTTAATTAGTGTTTTGAGATTGAAATTTGGAAAATTTTTAGAAATCTCATAAAAACAAATTTTTGAGATTTCGGTGTCGATTCGGAGTTGGATTTGAGTGAAACTGGTATAGTTGGACTTGTAATTGAATAGGTTGTCGGATTTTGTGAGTTTCGCCGGATTCCGAGACGTGGGCCCCACGAGCGATTTTTGAGCTAATTTCGAATTTTATTGAAAAATGTAGTATTTTCTTATGAAATTCATTCCTATAATTTTTGTTGACTATCGAATTATTTTGGCTAGATTCGAGCCATTCAGAGTTGGATAATCGAGTAAAAGGCCTACTAGTGGATTAAATTGGAGCAAGTCGAGGTAAGTGACTTGTCTAACTTTGTGTGGGGGAAATTTCCCCTAGGATTGGTATTGATGTGATAATTTTAATGTGATGAAAGTCGTGTACACGAGGTGACGAGTGTGTACACGGGCTAAATGTGGAATACTATGTCTTTAAATTGTGTAGATCACTATTTCAAATTATTTAAATTATTTTATTTTGTTATATTCTTCATCATTGATCTGATTTTTATACTTTAAATTTGCTTGACCTTTTTCCTGCTAATTGTTTTACATGTTTAAATTTTGATGTTGTTTATTTTGGCAAATTGAAATATTGGGCACTTCGAAATATTTAAGCACTTGAGGTGCAAATTGTGATATATTGTGATATTGATACGCATGCGGTGGTATAAGGTCTGGGTGTTGAAACGCATGCGGTGAGATAAGGGTGGCTTGATACGCGTGGCTAGTAGGGAAACTATTAGAAGTCATGCGGTGTGATAAGGGTGGCTAAAACGCAGGATGCTATTTCGGAAAAAATATTTTCTTTAAAATAAATTGTGAAGGCTCCCGCGGTGATAGAAGGAAATGAGATATTCTGAATTTATTTATGATTTAGGACTACGAGGTGGTACCTCGGGAGTGCCCTTGTTGATATTGATTTATGGCCGCAGTTGCCTTTGATTATTGTTGTGATTTTCTTAAAGTTGAAAAAAATTCTGTTTTGTTTCGACGAGGTATTATTTGCCATTATTTTGCGTAGTCGATTGGTGACATACTACTTACTTGATTCATTTCCATTGTCATTTAATTTTTATTATATTGTTAAAACATTTTACCTTGTCTTTTATTATTCCAATAGGGCCTGACCTGACCTCGTCACTACTCTACCGAGGTTAAACTTGGCACTTACTGGGTACCGTTATAGTGTACTCATACTACGATTCTGCACATCTTTTTGTGCAGATCCAGGTACATCCTACCAGTTCAGACATCAGTGAGCTACCTGTGTACAGAGATTTCGAGGTATATCTGCCAGCGTCCGCAGACTCCTGAGTCCCCTTCTATCATTATTATGTTGCTTCCTTATTTTTCTTTAGACCCTGATATATAGGTACATTGAGGATAAATTCTTAGAAGCTTGTGACTTATTTCTACCGGATTTTGGGAGTTGTAATTATTTGAATTGCAGTTCATTTATTTTAGATTTCTATCATTATTTTTGCATTGATAGACTTACCTAGTCTTAGATACTAGGTGCCATCACGACATCCTACGGAGTAAATTTGGGGTCGTGACAATTATCTTGTCTACAAGCTGGTCAAAATCAATCTTACTCCACTTCTTAGACGAAAGAGGCAATCCCAGATATCTTATTGGCAAAGTGCCTACTGAGAACCTTGTTAGCTGTACCAATTGATTCTTGATGTCATCCTCCATACTTGTCATAAAGATGCTTGACTTTTCCATGTTCGCCACTAAACATGTTACTTCACTAAAATGAGTAAGGGCCTCCATTAGTCTAGAAACAGATTTCATGTCTCCTTTACAGAAGAGCATTAAGTCATCGGCAAATATTAGATGGGTGAGTTTAATCTGCTTGCACATTGGGTGATATTTAAAGTCAGACAGCTCTCCTATCTTCTTCAAAGTTCTTGAAAAATACTCCATAACTAGCACAAAGACTAAGGGTGACATGGGATCACCTTGTCTCAGACCTCTTCTTCCTTTAAAATATCCATACCCTTCTCCGTTAACCTTAATTGAGAACTTTGTAGATGCAATACGTTCCATGACTATTGCTATGAATGCTCTTGGAAAACCATAGCCTTCTAATGCTTCCGCAATAAATTCCCAACTAACCATACCATATGCCCTCTTTAAATCTATTTTCAGCATACAACGTGGAGTGGTCTTCCTGCTATAGTGTCTCAAGATATCATGACAAACCAGCACATTATGCACTAAAGATCTCACCTTGACAAAAGCAGCTTGGTTCTCTGCCACAATACTTCCCACTGCTTCTCTTAGTCTGACACAAATCATTTTAGAAATGATCTTATATAGAACATTACAACATGAAATTGGTCGAAAGTGACATGTTTTCATTGGTACTTCTATCTTGAGAATCAGGGAGATCATTGTAGCATTTAACTGCTTTAAGAGATGCCAAGTACTAAAGAACTCAAGTATAGCTTGAGTTATATTTTCTCCTATAATCTGCCAGGCAGCCTTAAAAAATTCACTGATGTAACCATCAGGCCCAGGGCTCTTGTTCCTGTCAATATTACCCGGTGCTTTCTTTACATCCATCTCATGATATGGTTGTACTAATCTCAGTTGTTGCTATAATGTCAACCTTTTCCCATTGTGCAAGATACTCTTAAATGTTTTAACTCTGTGATTTGATTTCCTACCTAGCATATCCTGATAGAAATCCACCAAGATCTGAGCTATAGAGTCAGGTTCAGTTTGCAACTGCCCATCTTTATTCTTCAGCTGTGTAATAGCTTGCTGAAGCTTCCTGTGTTTGATCACAGAAAAGAAGTATCTAGTATTATCATCACCCAGCTTGATCCACTTACCTTTACTTCTTTGCAGTAAAAATATCTCAGCTAGGTAAGAACTCCTTCTGAACTTCTGGTAATTTTCCTTCTCTTGTGCCTGCAGACGTGCCTCTCCTGGCTTCAATTGCAACTCTTTCTGAATTTTCTCCAAAGCCTCTCTATCTTCATTTGCTTCAGTCAGTATATTCCTGAAGTGTTGTCTATTTAATTCCTGCAAGCTCTTCTTTAACTGTTTTAGCTTATACACAATTTGATACATCTTGTATCCTTCAACAGTTTGCTCCATATTTGATCAATTCTGGATAAGAACTCTGGGTGTTGAGCCCATGTGTTGCAGAATTTTAATGCTTTCTTCCTGCAACTATTAGCATTCACCATTGAGATTCTAATTGGGCTATGATCACTGATACCTTCTAGTAGAAAATTGTCTATGTATGCTGGCATGTTGTCCAACCACTGTCTATTGACAAATGCCCAGTCAATTTTTGAGTCCACCCTCGTTTCCCCATGTCTATCATTCGAAGTGTATCTGCTCCCATGCTGGGGTAGTTCTATGAATTCACGCTCTTCTGCACATTCACTAAAGTCAACTATCTCACTCATAGTTATTGGATTGCCCCTAATTCTATCATCTATTCTCAAAACAGAGTTGAAGTCACCAATTATTATCCATGGAATCTGCCAACCTCTACTCAAGCTACTCAAATAGCTCCACAACTCTTTCCTCTCATTCCTGGTGTTAAAAGCATATACCATGGTCAATAGAAAAGTGTGTTGCCTCGGAATGTACAATACCTTGCAAGTAATGGCTTGTGCTGTCATACTAATTGCCTCTACCTAGAAGTAGTCTGGCCTCCATGAGATCCATATCCTTCCATTATAGTGATTTTCAAGATTTGTTATATACTGCCAACCTCCAAACATGTTGTTTGCAATCTGTGTTATTTTTGTACTTTTTACCTTAGTTTCCAACAACCCTAACCAAACCTGCAGCTTGGTTGTTGCAGAGGAGTTTAACCTCTTTCTGCTTATTAGGGCTATTTAGCCTCTTTACATTCCAACAGAGTAGACTATCCATTCCCAGTATTGGGAATGATTATGTCTCCCCCTTTTCTCACATTACCTTCTTGGACCTGTATGCTTGGCCCAGACTCCTCTAATACTTGGAATGCATTTGCTTGTTTCTCTTGTTAATTAGCATGTTTCTGTTGTGGTCTCCTAGAATTAATAGGAGTCACTCATTCATTCTGTATCCTCTCATTCTGCTTGCCATGAGTAGTTATGTTTGTCTTCATGTTTGCCTCTGTCATTGATGTTGTGGTTTCTTTCCCAGCTTCTCTGCCTTGTATATTCACTTCCTGTACTTCCTTCTCTTTTGGACTTCCTGGTATCTCCTTTTCAACTTGACTAGTACTTTTCTTCTTCCTGCATTCACCTTCATCATGACCATATTTCTTACAATGCTTACACAATGTAGGCTTCCAATCATATAATACTCGTTGCTCAATCAACATTCCTTTTTCATTTTTGAACCATATTCTATCAGATAGTACTGCATCCATCTCCACTTCTATCAACATCCTTGCAAAATTTAATCCAATCTTCTTTTCAGTGTTCTTATCCACCATAAGGGGTTTACCTACCAGACTTCCAATCTTACTGAGTCCTTTAGGGCTCCAGTATTTGAAATCTAGTCCAGGAAGTTTCACCCAAATTGGGACAATGTATAACTCATCCCTAGTAAATTCCATATCCGGACTCCATGATTTCACAATAAAAGGCTTGTTATCAAAGTGATAGATCCCTCCTTGAAGTACTTCATTCTTCCCCAATTCTGTATCAAAGCGTACCAAAACTATCCCATTCTGAACATTGAAATCTTATTTATTCCATGCTTTGCCCATTGCCTCTGGATGAATCCATTCATAACAGTGAATGGAGGATGAGCTCCTAACACATAGCATACAACTGTGTTCCTCCAATATTCTATTTCTAAACTTATATCCTCCAATTCAATTTCACATACAGCTGCCTCCCCCTTCGTCATAGGCGATACATATTCAAGCTTGAATCCTGCATTTGTGACTATTGCAATATCAAAGTTATCCCACACAGACATCTTCGTTGTTACCTCCTCCATTAGGTCAGCTTCATCTGCCCACGATAGTTTTATAGAGCTGGATCCACCTCTTGCTATTTCACTCCATGATGTACGCCTAGGCGTAGGTGGTTTGTCTCATCAATCTGCTCCATCCGTAGTCCCCTGAAATTCATTCTCTGTAACTACCGTTGCATTGATTTCCTATTCATTATTTTGTTTTTCACTTCGATTCGGGATTTTTTCCTTCTCCACAGCTATTTCCTTTTGAATTGTTTCCTCCCTCTGTTGATTATTGACTTTCGCCATTGTTTCCTGAGCCATTAGAGCCTTCTGGAATGGTACACAAGCTCGCTTTCCCATGGATGGTGCACGTTTGCTAACATGCCCGAGAGAGAATTGCATGCCCTAGTCCCTCTAGGTTTTATATTTTTTTACTTCGATATGCTAGAAATTACTATTTCCTCGATGCAGTTATAGTCATGAATAAAAATCATTTTTTTCCTCAATAACTTGGCCAAACAATTTATCTTTCAAAAAGATACTTTTTTCAAAAATAAACACTGAAGCTTGCCCAATATGATGTACTGTGTTATATGACCTCATGGTACTTTTCCTAAGTAAAGAGAACGAAAAAACAAAATTAAAAGACTCATTTGTCATGTTTCTTCAAAATAAAATGCTAAACATCTAGATAAGGAACAACAAAAATAACAACCCAGTATAATCCCACTAGTGGGGTCTGGGGAGGGTAGTGTGTACACAGACCTTACCCCTACCCTGGGGTAGAGAGGTTGTTTCCGATAGACCCTCGGCTCCCTCCCTCCAAGAACTCCCCACCTTGCTCTTGGGGTGACTCGAACTCCCAACCTCTTGGTTGGAAGTGGAGGGTACTCACCACTAGATAAGGAAATAGTATGTAATTCTATTAGCAAAATAGGCAATAAATTATTGTCTATTAAGCTCTTACCGGGATATCTAAAATGGAAAAAACTTTGGTAATTGAAAAATAGCATAATGCATATTTACTTTGTCTGGATCTTTTGAGTTTTTGCAATCTACTTTTCTAAGTCAAATGTTCAAAACTTTCACTGTAGTATTTTTGGTGAGCAGATCAACAAAAACCAAAGTTTGTTCATACTTAAGTTGTACAGAGCATTGTTCAGCAGAAGGTTTGCTTCAGTGAAGCTGATGCCCCTTCAAAGTCAAGTTGAACTTGACGTATTTCGTCAGAAATGGCAGTCTCTTTAGATCTCAATACAATGATCTCTTGATCCTTCGTCTCTATCGTGTTCTTGGCAAACATAAGTTCTTTCTCCAGTTCATTTACCTTCATAGCAATCTTGCTGATCTCTTTTTCAGCTTCTGCTCTCTCAAGAATGCAGTCTCTGGTTCTGCCCTTTATTTCATCCAACTTGTTTTTGAATTGAATTTGCCTCTCGCTGTTCAATAGTAGATCGTCCAATGGACATTTAATCTGCATAACATCAAATCCACACTCCTCCAAGTCCTCGAGAGATGTCAGAATGTCATTGATGACCATTGAATTTTTAAGATCAGCAATGGTTAATTTTGATATCTTATCGCCAAGGAAGGCGTACTTTAGCATCTTTTGTAAAGCTAGCTCTTCTCGTTTCTCCTCCTCATGTTCTGCTAAAGGTGAGAAATGTGGATTTTGTGGAATTTTTGCAAATATTTCCATAGATTCAAGTGATCTCCAAACAGTGGAATTTTTCTGAAATGGCAGTGCCAGGCTCGGCTCAGGAGTTGTGATGGAACTAAGTGCAGCATCTGGCCATTCATTAGAATGCCGAGAACTGGTCCCGGTACATGGCTGGACTGCTGTAGGAGAAGCTCCTGTAAATGCTGACTGATTAACTATGCAACTAACGGGGTAAAAGAATAAAGTGATTTTGACGTAAACAACAATCCCACTTGTGGGAATTTACTGGGTTTGTTGTTCACGTAAACAACAACAGAAAACTGCAAGATATCAGAAATGAAAGGCAGAAGCACCTGAGTTGAGCCATTTTTAGTTGGAACTATGCAAATTATTCTAGCTCTAACCAAACAGTTCAGTCTCCTACAGGGGAAGGGGGAAGGAGGAGCTCGATTGATTGTTGCATGTGAATATGAACATTGGAGTTGTCAATTATAAAGCTCAGCAGGCTGGTTCAACTACAAATTTGATTGGTAGTGGTCATCTTCCATCTAATACTTAAAATTAGGAAACCCAATTATAGTTTAAGGAAAATACTAATATGATAGTAGAAAATGTGGCTAACCAATCAAGAGGGGAAATTTTTTTCATATTCTTTTTCATTCTTCATTTTTTAACTACTATGAAAGTCGAGTTTGTATCAAATTATAAAGTTCGATTAAGCTCAAACTCATAAAACTATCAATAACTTACTCAAATCTTGCACAAACACCTTGATATTCGGCTTGACTATGCTCGCTGCAGCCCTTGTCGCAAGTTGGAATTAGAAATTGAGGACAGCAAATTTTAGATACCTCACTTTCTCTTATTTTAACAGTGTCAAACAACGTAGGAAGCTTGGAGTTCTTTATACTTCCGGAACAAAAGAGGTCTAATTAAACTTTCTAATTCAACAAGCAGGAAAATTTAACATTAGAACACTATTTTTTTGAGAACCATAAACTTTGAAAAAGAAAACAGATAACCTGCAGCTCTTCTTGTTAGTTGGAATTAGAAATTGAGGATGCGCAATTTTAGAATCTCCTCTCTAATATTTAAATAGTACTATCAAGTAATGCAGGAAAGCTGGAGGTCACACTAAAACTCTTGCTACAAGGGAAGTCTGATTAAACTTTCTAACTAAAGATTAATTTAACAACAATAACAACGACCCAATAAAATCCCACAAGTGAGGTCTGGGGAGAGTAGTGTGTACGCAGACCTTACCCCTACCCCGAAGGAGTAGAGAGGCTGTTTCCGAAAGACCCTCGGCTCATGAAGATGAAAAAGACGAGAAGAGATGGGAAGTGACAATATATTAGTACCATCAAACAGAAACCAAAAAAATAATAACAGCATCATAAGAACTATAAAATAGTTGAAATACAATAACAAAACCAGAAAATAAGCTTGATGCTATGAAAACATAAGGATAGGGAGAACACAACATAAACCCCTAGCAGTCTAAGACCACCCCTACCAAACTAGCCTCACCCCTGGACTCGACTACGTCCTAACCTATAACCCTAATGCTCGACCTCCACACCTTCCTATCAAGGGCCATGTCCTCGGAAATCTGTAGCAACGCCATGTCATGTCTAATCACCTCTCTCCAATACTTCTTAGGTCGCCCTCTACCTCTTCTCGTCCCCGCCAGGGCCAAACTCTTGCACCTCCTCACCGGAGCATCAGGGCTCCTCCCCCGCACGTGCCCGAACTATCTGAGCCTCGCTTCCCGCATCTTGTCATCCATAGGAGCCACGCCCACCTTCTTCCGAATAACTTCATTCATAATCTTATCCATCCTAGTATGCCCGCACATCCATCTCAACATCCTCATCTCTGCCACTTTCATCCTCTGGATATGAGAGTTCTTAACCGGCCAACACTTTGCCCCATACAACATGGCCGGTCTAACCACAGCTCTATAGAACTTACCTTTGACTAACGGTGGCACTC